CTGCCGGTGCCCCTCCATCCCAACCGGCAGCCCCCTACTGCCCCAGCTCTGAGCTCCCCCGCCCAGCTCTGCCCATGCCCCTCCATCCCAACCGGCAGCCCCCTGCTGCCCCAGCCCTGAGCTCCACCGCCCAGCTCTGCCAGTGCCCCTCCATCCTGACCAACACCCAACCAGGAGCACCTCTTGCCTTTCCAGTCCTCTGTCTCCGTACCAATAGCTCTGTCAGTGTCCTTCCTCTCGACTCACAGCCCCCTGCGGTACCAATCCTGGACCCCCCCGCGCACTCCCAGCACCTCAGTGCTGACTCTGACTCCCCCTGCTTTTCCACCCCTGGGCCTCAGCGCACCCAGGACAGCCTGGGTGGCTATTCCCCCTGCAGGCTCATGTCCACGCTCAGCTTGTATCTAACCTGGGTTCCAGAGGCCAAGCTAATAGGGTGGGGGGTGACTACCCCTCCCCCACACTTGGGGCTGAAGAGCGTCATGACAGGGGGTGGCCAGGCCAACCCTGAACGGCACAGTGACCCTGTGCACCAGGCCGCAACACCCGGCGTGGAGTGCTGGGCCCAGCCTCATGGGACAGGAACAAGCGCAGCCCGGTGAGCGCAGACCTCACTCGCTCTCCAGCCCCCCACCAATGACCCTTCGCCCTCCAGCTGCAAAACCCGGCTCCTCCACTGCGGGGTTCAATCACCTCAGTAGTGAGAAGCAGCAAAACCTCCAGGGTCAGTTACAACATCCCAGCGCCTTGACACACTTAACACATGGGAGACAGCGTTATCTAGTGGCTAGAACACTGGGCTGAGACTCAGGAAACCTGGTTCTCATCACAGCTGGGTGACTTTGAGCAAGTCACTTCATCTTCCTGTGCCTCGGTTTCCCCATCTGTAAAATGGGGAGGATAAAACTGACCTCCTCTGTAGACTGCTTGGAGATCTCAGGATGGAATGTGCTAGGAAGAGCTAAGGACTATTACCGTTGAGCCTTGCTTGTGTAGATGGGACCATGACATGTTCCAGCCACCTTTCTCAACTGAGTCTGGGAACAGAGTCATTTTGCTAGTGCAGACGGGACCCAAGGCAGCAGTTTGATCTAGGCCTCACCTGGAGGGCAGATTGCACGAATGGTGGACACCAGGGCCAGTGAACGCCACTGGTGCGAGAGGGGCAGACAGTGGGAAAGCTGGTCAGGAAAAGGTTTCTTTTGCCCGTGAACAGTTTTGATGAAAAGGTTTTTTTCATTTTTACCAAATTTCTTCTTTGAACATTTGTGGGGTATTTTGTCAAAAAATTGAACACTGATTTTTCTGTTCTTGGCAACTGAAAATTTAAACTTCCTTTGCCCAACCCCTCCCCACCCCAACAATTTTGGGGTTTTGCTGAAAACCCCCAAAATTTAAACAAACCCAGACTCTCTTTGCAGAAATGTCCCTTTCCTTGTAACAGACACATTCCACCAAAAAATAATTTTGACAGAAAATTTCTGACTAGCTCTGGACAGTATAAAACAGGAACCTGGGTCTCATATCCCTTCCGTAGCTCTCTCAATTGCTAGGCCACGTAAACCGAGCTCCCAGCAAGTCCCTGCTGCAGCACAGAGCAAAACCTCAGTGCCGGGACGCAAAGAATGAACATAATCCTTAGCACCTCCCCAGGGCTTTTCATCTTCAAAACACTTTATGGACATTGACTAATTAATCCTCGCAGCACCCATGCAAGGCAGGAACTCAGACGTACCAACCCCCAGGCATGGTGGGGAAACTGAGGCACGGAGAAGGTCTGGGACTTGTCCAAGGCCACACAAGATATCAGTGTCAGAGCTGATAACAGAATCCAGGAGTTCTGAGATAGAGAGCTAGATAGATGGTGTGTATGCGGATAGATAGATCACAAGAGCATCCTTCTACCTATACTGTGTCCTTCCAGATATGTGCCTCCTAAGCCTCGCTCCACGCTCCGTCTTGCGGGAATTGGATAAGTCCTGATGCTGCTCGGAAGGGCTGGCTCGGGGCAGGTGCCGGCAGTAAAGCCAACCCCGCTAGGTTAGTGGGTATCCCTCTCGCTGCAGTCTGGCTTATCTCCGCCTGGCAATGCCTGACACAAACACACACCCAGGCAATCTCCAGCTCTAAGTGCAGGGAGAAAAACAACCAGGGGGAAGCACCTGCTGGGGCTTCTTGCAATGAAATATCAGAACTTTCTAAAATAGCCGCATGAGGAAAAGAACTTCCCGTGCCACTGGGGAATGAGGGGAGCTGGGTGTGGCTGGCGCAGGATCCGGGCCCGATCCTTGGCTGGGGTAAGCCATAGCGTCTCCATCAAAGCCAATGGAGCTGCTCCTGTTTACACCAGCAGGGGATCTGGCTCATTCTCGCTCTTCTACACACATTTTTCCTTCTTTAATCTAAACCAGTGAAGGAAGAAAAGGCCTGTCTCTTTTTTAAGTAGCATTAGGAATAACGCTGCTTATTGAGCCTGGCACCCATATAACAAGGCTCAGAACAGAGCACAGCAGTTTAAGGCTCCCCATTTACTCCCTGCATGTTAAGTCTGAGGATAAACGCACTGGGGCCAGACTGCTCTCTGGGAGTTATTGGTGTAAATCTGGAATGACTGGGCCCAATTCTCTCATTTGCCCCAATGGCAATCAGGAGTTACAATGGAATTACTCCAGATTTACACTGGGATAACTGAGATCATGGTTCGGATACGCTGGCATAAATCTGAAGTAACTCCGTTGCTCTGGATTTACACCAGTGTGTGACAGATTGGAATCCAGCCCATACATCAGCTGATTGCTGAGCCTGTCAGCCAAACCCAGCACCTCACAGGGACACAGCTCCCGCTGGTGCCTGGCGCACTTTGCCCGAATAGTCATTTGGTGCCCCCCCTCACTCGCCCCTGGGGGAGGGGGCTGGGGTGGAAATCTCCAGGAGGGTTCCCTTGTGATGTCCCCTTTGGGCTGAATGAGCCGGGGGGCTGGCAGTCCCACACCCACAGGATCCTCAGGAGGACTCCTGGGCTGCACTGTTTTTGCTGGGAGATCTCCACGGAGTCAGTGGGAAGAGACCTTGGGCCAGATGGGAGCCCCTGGGTCTTTGGTGCCCAAATCCCCTTAAAAACCTGTCCCATGTGCCTCTCTCCTCCCCTGCCCTTCTCTGCAGGCTCCCAACCCCTCCTTTGGGGGGCTGCGCCCATCCCCGTGTGCAGAGCCCTCTGCACAGAGAGCTCGGGGACACACAGGGAGGAATCAGTTCGACCGAGTAAGTACTACACAATGGAGCTTGCACTAAAATCCCCACCCCTACCGGATCCAGGCCAGGCCAGGGATCCGGGCTGCTATCCAGGTGACTGCTCCTGCCTCAAAGAAACTTCCTCTCCGATCCCATGCCATGGAGAGCGCGAATCAGAACACCCTGGGTGCCTGGCCAGCCCGCTGGGTTTGCTCGCCAAGGCTGGGGGGGAGAAGTAAACACTGCGGGGGAGCATGGTGCACAGCCTCGGGGTGGGGGGGCAGCTGTGCTAAAGCAATGGGGGCTGCTGCTGATTTCAACTCTGAGAGCAACCATGTCCCCCCAGCCAGGGCTGACTGGGCATCTTGGGGGAACCACCCCAGGACTGCCTGTGTGCTGGAGACAGCCCAGAGCTATGCACTGCTAAGGAATAACACACACTGAGATGCACACCCAGTGAGTCACACTCACACACCCCGCTACACACTCACACACAGACACACTCACAGCGCTACATGCTCACACACCCCGCTACACACACACCCAGAGACACACTCACAGCGCTACACACTCACACACCCCGCTACACACACACACCCAGAGACACACTCACAGTGCTACACACTCACACACCCCGCAACACACCCAGAGAGATACACCCACAGCACTACACACACACACACCCCGCGACACACTCACACACCCCGCTACACACACTCACAGTGCTACACACTCACACACAGTTGTGCCTCCAGAGCGGCTCCCTGCGTGGGGCATGGCCCTGGGAGCCCCCCGGCTGGCCCTGCCACCAGCCAATTCCGCACCTGCCAGGACCTCCACTCCCCAGTGTATATAGCGGGGCGCTGAGAGCCATTGACCCAAACTGCAAAGCCTGGCTGGGATGGAAACCACTTCCCGACGGGGGTGCCGCAGCCCCCCCCCCCGCTAGTGCCAGCGCCTATGGGAATGGCTCATTGTCCCCCCCGCCCCGCTCACACCCAGCTCAGCGGCACCCCTCGGCGAGCTCCCCCCCTCGGCTCCCTGCACAGGCACAAACTTTCCGCCCCCCCGCCCTGCCCTGCCCTGCCCTGCCCTGCCCCCGGGCCCGCGGCAGCGCCCATCCCCGTGGCGACGCGGCTGCCCGTACCTGCAGGAGACGGTGAGCTCCACCTTGGTGGCCGGGATGCTGCCCGCGATGGGGTCGAAGTCGCTCACCGAGGCCATGTCGCCCCCCTTGTCCATCGCCTCTTCCATGGGCGTCCAGCCGCGCCCCCCGGGGCCTCCCGCTCACAGCCCGGGCGCTGCGGGGGGCTCAGAGCCGGGCACCGAGCGGGACATAGCCAGCGCCGGGCGCGCAGCCGGCTCCTCGCTCCGCCTGCACCACTGGCGGGCCGGCTCCGGAGCGCTCCCCGGCTGCCTGCCAGGCTCCGCCCCTCAGCCCCCGCCCCGAGGCGCTGCCCCCCGGCCGGGCCGGGCGGCGGGGGGGAGCCCGGAGCCCTGGGCAGGGGCGGGGAGGAGCCTTTCCGGGGGTGCCTGGGGTGGGGCTGTTGTGTGAGTCCCTGGGAGGGGGGTGCATGTGTGAGTGTACTTGTGGGTCTGCCTTTGCTGGGGGGTTCCCTGGGCCAGGCGTTGTGCTGTGTGGTGCCTGCTGCGGGTTGCTGCCTCTTGGCCCAGTGTCCCTGTGCATGCAGGTGGGAGCCTTCTGTCAGTGGGGGGTTGCTGTGTGCGTGGGCCTGTATGTTTGGGTGTGTTGGACGGGTGGTGTGCTGTGTGTGGCTATTGTATGTGTGTGGGGGGGACATGTCAGTTTGGGGGGTGTATTTGGCATGTCACTGGGGTGCGTTTGGTGGTATGTGTGTGTGCGTTGTGTGTTTGTGAGGGTGTGTTATGTATGTGGGGAGGGTGACTGTCCCTGTGTGTGTGTGCATTGTGTGTGTGTTTGCGAGAGGAATGTTATATATGAGGGAGGAGTTGATTGTGTATATTTCACATCTGTTGTGTGTGTGTGTTGCTACTGAGAGACAGGAAGCGAGGTGCGTTAAACCAGCCCATCAGAGAACAGGCCCTGCCTTCCATTCCCCTGCCCCCAGCACCAAACACACTCAGAGCACAGGGCACAGGCATGTCCTGCAAACTGCGTCCAGCCTTGGCACGGGGCCTTTGGCTCAGGGGCTCTTGGACAGTGTCCCACTGAACTCTTGCTCCCCAGATCTACACTCTAGTGGACAAGTAACCCCACAGACTGCTAGGAAGAGCAAAGGGAGACTAGCAAATCTCCCCACTGACTCAAAGCCCAGCACGTGAATTACTGGGGGTGGGGGTTGGTCCCTAATCACCTGCTTTCCGTCTGTCGCCCACTCTGCTGCGAGTAGCGCTAGAGCAGCAAGAAGCCGCCCCGGCTGAAATCCCGGTAACTTTAACCAAGTAAGGAGTGCGGGGCAAGAGGGAACGTGGCAGTGTAGACGGGCCCAGACTCTCAGCTGGTGTAAGTAGTTGTCGCCCCAGAGATTCAATGGAGCGACACTGACTTGCACCAGCTGAGGATCTGGTCCACAGACTTTCATGGGACCACTCCAATGTATGCCAGCTGTGGGGCTGGCGCCTGCTTTCTCAAAGACTTCCCCACCCTGGGGTGTCTGGGCCAAACCCGGGAAGCACTCACTCCCCTGAGGAGCTGCCAGAGTCAGTGGAGCTGCTCACATAAGGGAGGAATTTGCAGGTATGTTGTCTAAAAGCACTAACTTTTTGTGGGCCCAATCCTGCATAGCCTTATGCCAGTAGTCCCATTGGGCCCAATTCTCCTCTCACTTACCCTGGCATAACCGCATTGATTTCAGTGCTGTTACTCCTGATTTACACCGAGGGTGAGAGAATTGGGCCCACTGGGATTATTCACAGGAGCAAGGCGCTGCAGAGTCCGGTTCTGTGGGGACTGATGGACCTTAGTCCTGTATTGGATATGAACCTCTAGGGTATGTTTTATTCCTTTTGCCTGGGAAGAAGCATTGCTGAAATCAGCAGTAGCAGCCCTGGGCTCTAGATCTTGCGCTTATCCCAGCAGCTCCCAGTCCAGGATAAAGGCCTTTACACCAGTGCTTAGCCCTTGCTATCATTTCACCTGCATTTGCTTTTTGGCAAGGATAGGAAACCCCCCCTTGGGGTAGCATCCAGGAACAGATTCTGGGGACTGGTTTCAGTTTGCAGAGCTCAGTTCCACCGTACGCCACCAGGTGTCACTGCAACCAACCCATCGTGGGGAGCCAGATTAGCTGAGCAGGCTGTGGGAGTGAGGAAAATTGTAAATACTGTAGTCTCTTTAAAGGTTGCTGAGTCCAGAGCGCTCCCCTTCACAGATGAACACAACGCTCCGCCAGGCAGGGCCGGCCCTAGGGCAATTCCACCAATTCCCCAGAATCGGGCCCCATGCCTTAGGGGGGCCCCGCGCCATCCTGAAGGAGCTGCCACTGAAGTCCCGGCGCTGTCTTTGGTGGCAGCTCAATCTCTGCCAGGGAGGAAAGTCCCTCCGCTCAGGGCCGGCTCCAGCATTTCTGCCGCCCCAAGCAAAAAAAAAAAAAATTGGGGGAAAAAAAAAAAGCCGCGATCGGCGGCGGCAGTTCAGCGGCAGGTCCTTCGCTCCTAGAGGGAGTGAGGGACCTGCCGCCCCCGAATTGCCGCAGGTGCTGTCCCTCTCCCTTGGCCACCCCAAGCACCTGCTTGTTAAGCTGGTGCCTGGAGCCGGCCCTGCCTCCGCTGTAGTGCCGCCAAAGGCACTGGCAGCTGATTGAGCTGCTGCAGAAGTCCCAGCACTGTCGGCGGCAGCAGCTCAATCGTTGCCGCTATCTTCGGCGGCAGCTCAATCGCTGCCGCTGAAGACAGCGGCGGGATTTCGGCGGCTGCTCCTTCGAATAGGGCCCCGCAGTGCCTAAAGCCGGCCCTGCCGCCACGCAGACACGGGTGCGTCTGTAAGCAGGTGGGCTAAATCCCCTGCTGGAGTGAACACAATGACGTGAGAGTTTCCCCTGTTTACACTAACAGAAAATCTAGCCCCAAACCTGCTGGTTTCTAAACTCCACTCTGGGGTCAGTCAGTGGGAGTCTCTGTGGGCACAGGTGCAGGCCTGTGACTGGAGCGTTGTCATTTACACATAGAAATGGAGGGTGAGGAAATTACAGACCAAGGTTCCAGACACTGAAAGGTAGAAGATGGAAAGGTTGGAGCTCAGACAAGGCAAACAGCAGAAAGTCTGATTAATAACAGTACTAATAATGATCTTCTGCCTGAGAAGTGTCTGGAGGGGATGGTGTGATGAGACTGCCTACAATGGCATGTAACCAATTTGTGGCTACTAGCAGCAGATATCTCCAGTGGCCAGACACGGGACACTAGATTGGGAGGACTCTGAGTTACTACAGAGGATTTTTTCCCAGGTGTCTGGCTGGTGGCTCTTGCCCATATGCTCAGGGTCTAACTGATCACTATATTTAGGGTCAGGAAGGAATTTTCCCCCAGGTCAGAGTGGCGGAGACCCTGGGGGGTTTCGCCTTCCTCTGCAGCATGGGGCACGGGGCACTTGTAGGTTTAAACTAGTGTCAATGGTGGATTCTCTGTAACTTAAAGTCTTTAAATCATGATTTGAGGAGTTCAGTAACTCAGCCAGAGGTTAAGGGTCTATGACAGGAGTGGGTAGGCGAGGTGGGCAGGAGGGGCAGAGTTAAGGTTGTTTTAACATTTTCTGAATGGGAATGTTGAAAGGACCAGGATTTTCCAAAGTGAGCAGTGAGTTTGGGTGCCTCAGCTTGGGGTGTCCATCTTGAGAAACGTCTTAAGGGAGGGTCTTAATGAAAGTGATCACCTGGCCTCTGAGGATCTGACCCCTCTGAAGTTGGGCAACCCAAAATTCTAGTCACTTCTGAAAATCATGGGGGCAGATCCTCAGCTGGCATAAACTGGAGCCGTGACAATGTTCACCAATTAATGCTCTGCCCCGTGGCATAACTTCCTGACTTTCAAATGATATTTTACTCTTGAACAAATTGCCTCACCTTCCTCTGGTTTTGCTTCCATAACCACCCGGCTCTAATAACATTGTTGGAAGGTAGCAAACGGCTATTTAGCCATGGGTCTGTCTGGGAACTTCCTAAAACTAAAACTCCTCAAATGTTATTTCAGTTTCTTCCTGATGCAGCTTCCAAAGTACATCTCAGGCAAGAGCATCCCAGACTCTCTTCTCCAAAACCAGCTTTATTCCACCGGAGTCAGACTCTGTCTGATCAGAGAAGGAGCAATTGGGAGCCTGCAGAATGTATCAACTCCACGTCAGGACACATGCAGCTCCTACTGTCTCTGCCAGAGAAGGGTCGGGTGCTTTCAGTACTCTCCTGAGGGGTTTATAAGCTCCACAGCTTTCTAGCACTGTAGCATCCTTAGTGGAAGAGGAGAAACAGGGCTCATTTGCCATGACTAGCAAGGGGGTTTATTAGGGAGGCTGCTGGACACAGACAGACTCTGTGGTTCTCTCGGCTCACTAGCTCCCAGACTGAGCTGGCAAGGGTCACCGCTAGGGGTCTCTCTAAGTCCTGGCTTGGACTATTCCGTCCTGGAAGGGGCGGCTGGCTACGCTCCATCTCTGAGATGGGGGACGTGACCCTGTGCTGGACGATGGGGCGAGCTGCTGACTCCTGTGCTTCCAAACAGCGTTGGGACAAAATACACCGTGTGAGAGCACAGCTCCCTCCTGCCAGTACGCGCCACAGGAGAAAGGCTCCCTATGGCACAGTCCAGCAGCTGCGTGGGCAGCAATCGGCCTGCTACCATCTGACTGAGGCCATGGGCCGCTATGCCCTCACGTTAGCGCCTCTCTTGTGCTAAGGCCCCTGTAGGCTGTCCCAGTGACATCTGGGGGCCTTAAAGGAGGCACAAATCTCAGCACAGCCCCTGTGTAAGAGCCACCTCCCCCCCACCCCCACCCCTGATTAGAGCTATCGGAACAGCCCTACAGCCGTCCTGCTTCATGCCCTGGATGCAGGGCGTGTTCAGGGCAGGAAGTAGACACCATGGGGCAGGCTGGGCTGGACTGCACTGTATGCTGGCTAGTCCCTGCTTGCCAGGGCCCACCAGGAACTGTGGGAAGTCAGCTCTGACTCCCACCGGGGCTGGGCTGGGCAGGGCAGACCCCCAGCTCCACCAGGATATGTGAAGCACAAATCTGGCTTTGGGCCCCTTGGTGCCCACCCCCACATCCA